AAGGGCAGGTTCTATGCCTCTACCAAAAGCGGGTGCAATGCCCTTCTCTGCAGTGCAGCACATTGTTCCAGTGGGGTGGTTACTCGCTTTCTCGGCGAGCTTTCCTCCCCGCATACACTGCGATTAGCATGCTTTTGTCAATGCGGAGGCCTTCGAGAAAAGCTCTAGCACGTTTCCGTCACGCTCGGTAACCGCCGTTTGTAATGTCAATGACAGCACCCGACTTGGTGAGGAAGCCTCGACGCAGGATTAGAGACATTGACCGCCCAGGAAGATGCAAGAAACGTTGTCGTCTCACACGTCTATCTCAGTGGATCACTAGCCTAGCCATGCCGCTCGATTGTGCTGTGCCCGTAGCAAGGCGGAAAATGCTGTTGCTTTGTCTCAAGGGAATATTGTTCTCGCAGAGATGGTGCAACACATCGTGACCGAATGAAGAAGTGCTTGCCCCAGTATACAAAAGTGCTACGAACTTCTTTCGAGCTACCGTTAACTCGATTAGCGGTGCGGGCGAGTCTACGGCATCGCTTGTACGACAGACTGAGGGTGCAAATGATCCAAACACATCAGTGGGATTACTGATTGCCGTGCGGGGTCTGATGTGGATCACCGATGGCACAGCCCATTTCCCGAACCGCGCGTTTGCTCCTGACCCGGTGTGCAGTCGCATTCGGGGGGCAATGTGCCCCGGCGCACTGCACCGATAGCAAAGACCGCGGAAACCATGCCGGCTCAATCGTAAGTCCCCTCGATCAGGTGGACCTCGCTCAGGGTTGCGCTGCTCGTTACGTCACATGTCGACCGCGCGCTCCTGTCGTGGAATGTCACGCGCGGGGGCGACGTGGGCCGTACGAAGTGTATAAGCGTAGGGGCCTAAAGTGCGGTCTGACGGCTCCCGACCACTTGGTACATGCTCATTAGCAAACGATGCTGGTGCATTACCCCTAAACACTGCTGAGGCTATCCCGCTGCCACTCCTCGCACAGTGAGGTTCGAATGACCGCGCTGCGGGCAGAGGTAGGCGATACGATTGTGGAACGAGGATGTCCCCTTGTATGCGCTTCGTTCGGTGGTGAGCTCTTCTAGGTCTGCGAACTTGCATCCCCTGAAGTGCGGTACAAAAGTCGGGTGTGCTTGATGCGTAACGTGCGCGGCTTTTTTCGCGTTGTTGGTGTGAAGGTTACCGAGACCATACAGTTCGTCCATCGCCCGTACTTACTCCAGCAAGGATTCGTTCAGATGCTGGGTTCGTCGTCTACCTTGACACTTGGTCACACAGTCTGCACGAGGGCCTGCGCTGCGTTCTGCAGGGCACTTGCTTGGCTTTGCATAACTGACAGCGCATTCTGTAAGAGTACCTCGCTCGAGGGCAAATCGTTGCCCGCCGACTCTCCTACAGTTGCGGCGTGTGTCGAAGCAACTTACGGCGGCGCCTCTCTGTTTGCGTCGCGAGGTGACCAAGCGCCTGGCGTGGCGCTTTTAGTCGTAGGCCTAATCTGCGCCAACGCGGCCTCTGCACCCTCCTGACCGTCCTGCGTCAAACGACTACAATCTACGCTGTCGGAAAGTCGTAACAGTGCCCCCGCGTTAGCCAAAGGATTGACACTCTGCGACGTTGCATCAGACAACATTGACAAATCTTGGAATTACGACATGCCTGTTGTCCTATGGGTGGAGAAGCGTCGGTAGTTGCTCGCATCCACAAAACTAGTCACGTTGCCAAATTCGTTGGTTGGGCGCCAGATGTAGCGGGTCCGTCTTATGTACAGCTGACGCAGAAGCCTAGCTAATGTTCCAGCCGCACACAGTCGTACCGTGCGCGATTAAAGTTTCTTATTCGTAGCTCGTCTCATTGCAGCTACACGGTTCGGACGAATAAGTCAACAGGCTAGGTCAACAACAAAACTTTATTGGTATACGTTAGCAATAACGCGTAAATGTCACGAGGAGCTACGACAGAAAACAAGGGTAGATGCTTACTCCTTGGTCGTCCTTCTCGGCTCTCAGGGGGGGTCGTGGGTTCGACTTCCTTCTTCCAAGGCCGGTGTCAGAGAAGTGTGCGGCCGTCCGCGCGCTAGTTTTGTTCACTGACCCAATTTCCCTTAATCGACGTAGCACGTTTTAAAACATAGGACAGGGGAAGGGACAGAAGGGAGCAAATGTCCCCTGTCCTATGTTTTCCCTGTTTCCCTTCCCCTGTCTTATGTTTTAAAACGCGCTACGTCGATTAAGTATGTCTTACCAACATGCCCAACTTTATACTCCAGCCAGTTTCCCTCTCTCTGACGAGAATAATACCTTTTCTCGCTGAGGAAGGGGAAACCCGTTCTGCGGGCCGGAAAAGGGGGAATCGCGAGAGCTGGCCGCAGGGGTGTTTCATCCCCAGGCAAGAGGCTTTATTGACTCTCCAAGGGACAGTTATGTCCTCGCAACTAGGCTGTCCTGCTGCCATAAAAGGGAAAGAGAGGCTGGGGGCACGTGCTCTCCCACAGTTCGCATGCCGTTCGTGTTGAGAAACGCTGCTCAGACGTTCCAGAAGTTTGTCAACAAAGTAACCCGTGGATTACCCTTCGTATTTGCCTATCTTTACGACCTCCTGGTAGCTAGCGTTTCTCCCGAACAGTATTACAACCATTTGCGTCTCCTATTTTCTCGGCTCCAAGAACATGGCCTTCTCATCAACCCCACAAAATGTATCTTTGGTGTCGAAGACATCGAGTTCCTCGAGCATCATGTGACTAGCGAGGGCATCAGACCATTGGATAAAAAAGTTAAAGCCTTACGCGACTTTCCTCGCCCGACATCTATCTGAAAGTACCGCTAGTTCCTTGGGCTGCTCAACTTCTACCACCGGTTTCTCTCCAACATCGCCCACATAATCATACCGCCCGTCGACCTACTCAAGACCACCAAAACTCCGTCATCCCCCCTGACATGGACGCCTAACGCCGAATCGTCCTTCCAAGCTGCCAAAACGTTCCCCGTCCATTTTCATCGGGCACCATAAATTGCGACGTGTCACGGGGTCAAGCTCGACCAATTGTTCCTCTCCAACTTCGCCGTAACATATTCAATGAGCTGCATGGCACCTGTTACCCCGGAGTTTGTGCTACTCGGCGTCTCATTACGACCTGCTTTGTGTGGCCGAGTGTGAACTCTGGCGTACGGTGCTGGGCGCATGAATGTCTCTACTGTGGCTCCAATGGCTCCAAGAGGACCCGACACACGAAATCGCGAATTCAGTCATTTTGCCTACTCATGCTCGGTTTGATCACGCTCACATTGACATCGTTGGCCCATTCCCACCGTCTCGAGGTGCTCGCTACATCTTCACTTGTGTAAACAGATATACCCACTGGCCTGAAGCTTCTCCTCTCGCCAAGATAACGGCATTACCGTGGCTTCAGCATTAGTCAGCGGCTAAATCTCGCGCTTTGGATACCCCAGTGTTGTTGCCACCGATCGCGGCCAACAGTTTGAATGCGATCTCTCGTGAACTAACATGCCTGCTTGGAGTCCGCCATATTCATACTACCGCTCACCACCTATCGGCAAATGGAATGGTTGAACGCCTTCATCCTCATCTTAAAGCCGCCTTGATGGATCGCCAGGCTCGTTCATTATGGGCTGAACATCTTTCTCTCGTACTGCTTGGCGTACGTTCATCTTTCAAGGAAGACTTCGGCTGCACAGCTGGGGAGTTGGTCTATGGTACGACGCTGGGTATACCTGGGGAATTTTTCATGCCAGGTGCTGTCACCACACCCGATCCAGACAGTTACGTGGAACAGCTCTGTTTCCTCTTTTCCTGCCTGCGTCCTTGCCCTAGTCGTGATGCATTGTGGACTGCCGTCTTTGTCAGCAAGTACTTGGCCACAGCTAGCCACGTTTTCGTCCCGCATGAAGGTATCCGGCCCTCCCTTACGCCTCTCTACGATGGCCCATTCAAGGTGCTCAGTCGGACAGAAAAAACAGTCACCATCAAGCTCAATGGACGTAAAGAGGTCGTGGTGATCGACAGAGTTAAACCCACCTATCCAGCGACAGCGCCCGAAATATGTGCTTTAAACTTCTTTGCCACCACTGACATGCAGGCTCCACCCGATCGCCTGACCGCTAAGACTGTTTCTTTGGGACCAGTGCACCACTTCCCTTTTTATCAAAGGGGGAGAGCCCTCTAGCGGTCATCATCATCATTGGCCGCCTATTAATTATGGCGCACTCAGGTGTATGTGTACGCCCTTGCGCTTTTGTTCCTCGTGTGGCATGTTCTGCGGTTAGTTCTGTTCCTGCCGTTGGCCTGAACAGGTTCCTTGTGTTTTCGCACGCCGCCACACGCATGATTATAGAAGACCTAACCTCAGTCCCTATAGCTGTTATTCTTGATTGCTATTACGGTGAACTGTTGTCAGTTTCTATCATTTTTACACGAAAGTAGAAATAAAGCAGCTGGAAGGCCAATGAAGAACAATGAAGACTGAAAATGTGGCTGCCTCACGGCCCTAGGCTGGCATTAAAACGGCACCAGCAATGGCAATGAAAATTACGGTGTTTGGGTCCTTTTGCTCATGGTTGGCAGACTCCTTTTGTTTTTGTTTTTTTTAATGATCGTTATTATCAAACAGGAGTTTATTGATAACAGCTATAAAAAAATTTAATATTTATTCACGCTTTTACGGTATAGTATACATTTTGGTACTGTTCTTTAGGCCCTTTGTGCAATATTTTTATTAAATTAAGTAAAAATAGACACTTATATCTAGGTTTTGCTGTCAGCATCATGTTAAAGTGTGTCTCATTATCATTTTAAATGTTATTGGCATGTAATACTGTATGATTTATTCTAGTTGTCATTTTAAAGGTTCCATTGTTCTTCACATGCTTGTTGTGATCTTGTCTTGCCCTTCATTGTACTTGGTAGGGCAGTTCTCCATACATTATCAGCTTGTGTCCGTTCAGTCTGCATTGCTGATTCCAAGCGATTTGTTCGTGCTCTGCAGGTCCGTGGTGCTGGCCACAGTGCTGGCTTGCAGCAGAAAAATTTGCAACACGATCACCAACAGATGCCAGCTGCACATTTCGATGACAAGAGGCAGCAGCACTCCAATGAACAGGTGAGCAAGCCTCTCACATAGTCGTCAACAGCTGCCTTACTAGAGCTGTGGATCATGTGCGCAGATCCACGTTGGAGAGCAGGCTTCAGGCGATGCGGGTCATCGTCTGCACCATAAAAATGCGCAGCACCATCCGCATCAACCACCTCCTCCAGCAGCTGCTAATGCTGGCAGAAAGCAGCCACACACTGAACTGGTAAGCCGTTCATTGGGGCTGTGTGTGGCGTCTTGTGAAGAGATTTGCAGGCCATCAGTGCTGTAACAAGCTGCAATATTATCAAGTGTTGTCGAACAACACCCTTGATAGTTTTGCATGCTTCCGATACCAAGCATAAGACTATCTCCGGGCATCGTGCTCTAAGTAGTGGTGTGACGGAATGATCTTATCGCACGCTCATCCATTGTCATCTGACGAGGAGATTTTCTCGGGCAGTATTGACGGACGATCACTTGCAGCGGTTGTTTCATTTTCTCGAAGTTTTGCTTGGTTCGGCCATCAAATGCAGAGGCAATGGCCTTTCTTGCACGTTGACAAGCTCACTATTTTCACAGTACAGGGAGAGCAGTCAATTGTGTGCTCTGAATGTTGAATAAAGGCCATGTCTTGTGAAAGTGAAACTGTGTCCGAAGGTATTTCCGAAGGATTAAGTCACCTTTCATGCCCTGGAGCTTGTTTTGTGATTTAGCACATTTAAAAATGTCATCACTCATTTCATGGGGTGTTTACACTAGGTGGCCTTGCCATTCACAAAGTCACCTTGTTTATGTTAGAGCCACTGAGCCATGAGGGAGTTGCAGAGCTCTTTGTTCCTTAAAAGCTGGTGTTACACAGGAAACGCTGTGTAGCCATAATGTTGCAAATGAATACAGTCAAAGCATAATAGTATCGGCCACAGAGTACTGCAGCGCCTCAACTACGAAAGTGGCGTTTATTTGAACTATTACCGAGGTGTATGGTTTCGAGTGAAACGGTAAACATACCAGGTGCCAACGTAAGGCTGGGGGCTACTGGATTGAGTATATTCATTTTATAATTGTTGATTTTTGCAACAGTTCCAACTTAAAAAAGCAGTCAAATTAAGGCAGCAGAAATTGAAAAAAAATAACAACTAATAATAAAAAAGGACTACATAGCAATACAATCGATAAAGCATATTTACGCTCTTTATTTGCATCTTCGTGACGTAGAAGTGTAACACAGTGATACTTTTACTTGTGCTTAAGCCATAGTCATGAAGTGGTGGGCCATTAAATGTGCTTGCTTTAGTGCAAAAAAAAAAAATGCCCCCACCTCCCCAAAGGGAATCGCGAGGAAATGCGAATGCACTGCGTAGTGTCCATAACATCGTTTGGCGCGTGAGAACCCAGCATTAGAAGAATAATGTCTTTTTTTTTTCTTTTTTTTTACACCGTGCAGCCATTAGCGTGGTTCACCGCACCTGGCGTTTTTCTGTCGTGAAAAGCATGGTATGCGTTTCCGGCTCTAGTAGCTAGCGTGCACAGTTGAAAAATACGCTACAATGAACGCCACTTCAAGAAAATTTCGGCTACAACGAAAAACTCGCGATTCCTCGTCACCAGTCCATAGGAGTCAATGCATCAATATTGTCGCCACAACGAACACTTTTTTTTTGATCGTCCCGCTTCAACGAAATTTTTCAATGCAATTCGAGGTTCAGATACTTATTGCTATGTAGTAAACCCAGTCTTTAACATTTCACTGCATTTTCATGCCTTTAAATGTGTCAACAAAGTCTAAAACACGCGTTGGCACCACCAGAAACCGCCGCTGTTCAGCAAGCATGAGCGCCGCCATTGCAAGATAGCGATGGCAATAAGACAGCCCCGCTTTTGCTACTGGCTTACTTTTGAGCTGCAGATGATCTGAAGCTGAAGCTAAGTCGCTCAGTTCATGGTTGTTTCCTTCACGCAGCTGCAGGGTGCAACCGCCGAACGATGCCTTTTCTGATTGCGATGCTTATCATTATGTTCGCGCTTGGCCACTGTGGTTACTAATCAGAGTGGCAGTTCGTCTGCATTGTCCACATTCAGTTAGCAGCGAGTGATGGATGATAAGAATGGCATAGAATAATGCAAAATTCGCCGCTCCACAATACCCTGCCTCCATCTTGGCATTGTCGCATACTCTTGACGGCGGGCAGCTGCTGGTTTTAACACGTTAATGCAGCTGTTTGGTTCGTTCATGAAAGCTGTTGTAGGCGTTGTTGCAGCGTGACTTTCAGCATGGCCACGCTATGCATGGGTGAGAATCACATCATGACACTGTTCGGAAAGAATAGGAAGCAGTGGACATTTTTTGAATGAATGTTCTTTTGTTTTTCTAGTTCAGATCAGCTACATTTTTTTTTTTCGATTTTACTACAACAAAATTTTTGCTTCAATGAATTTTTTTCCTGCGCCCCGTCAGTTTCGTTGTGGTGGAGTTCGACTGTACTGTGAAGGGAACAAAACAAACACTGTTATCAGCTCGGCATTTCACAGCAACGTCTCGAACACACATTTCCGGATGCTCTTGAAAGGCTCCCAGCCAGTGAACGGTTGAGAGTGAGAGCGAGCAGACGGTAAAGAGGGTCGTAGGGAGGAGAGAGGGTGAATGGTGAGAGAAGTAGCGGCGAAGCACTGCACCTACCCTTTCCTACACTCTCGCTTCACATGCTCTGGTAGCTAGGGGAGAGGGTAAGCGTGCACGCGGAACTGTTACTTGGGAGAGAGGATGTGAGAGGGAAGATAACACCTGCCAGCGCTGGCAACGCGGGATGCCTGATAGCCCGACTAAGAAATGCATTCACATTTAAAAGTGAAAGCACATGTAAATCAGTTGCCCATTTGGCTTGCTGCTCTAGACAACCTCGACATTTTTGTACTGCGCCTCACTATAACGAGGCCTTTAGTAGATATTTGGACTCATTATCTCAGGCTTCGTACAAATATGCTGCAGCCACTGAGGCACAGCAGTTAGCTCCAAGCCACTTTCTAATGTCTCCATCTCTGCACAGGTACAGGGCGCCAAACAAAGTTCTGACGACGCTGGGCGTCGCCAGCATCAGAAACCCGCGCAACAGCAGCCCCAGCAGCCCCCAGCCATCAATACGGTCAATAAGTTGCACACGTCTGAACAAGTAAGTAGTTACTGCGACGTTTTTCTTCTTTCATCACACTTTTGTGGGCCTTTCCACATTATAGAGTCTTAGTGTCAGCAGTTAGCTCAAAAGTTCGAGCAGGAGTGCAGGACCTTCCTTTTGCGCCTTCTTGTTCCACTGAAGTGCCCACAGAGCGAATGTGGCGAGTTAAGTGAGCTACTGCAATTTCATAAGAGTGGAACCCCTTTGTAAGAGACACTCATGTCAGAGACAAATGGGTATAAGAGACACCAGTGCACCAACATTAAGGGGGCAGACTGGTCTTTGGGACCAAAAAGTGACAAAAAAATTCATTTCTTAAAATAGACATATTTTGTTTTTGCAAGTATTTTTCTATCTCTCGGCAAATTTTCACACACCAGAAAGTAGTAATTTTTTTGTAATGTCATTCTAACTGTCCAGATTCTTGGTGCTGTTAACATGCAGAACCTGCAAAAAATGGGGAACCGACTTTGAAGCTTCTTTATAATTTGCCAGCACCTGTATCCAAAGCTCTACAACCAATTTATGAGCGCCTTTTTAAGGATTGCAAAACATGCGACCATGATTAGTGCTTTTTGAAGAAACTGTGTGTTTTCAGTTTTTTTTTTTCACTTTTCTCAAAAAAGTAAATATATGGCTGTTCAATTTTGAGGCCTCAATATCTCAGCAGCTAGGGCAGGTACAACAATAATTCTTTTTGCAGTGGAAACCTGTATGTGTGTAGAATGCAAGTAAGGAAACAGAATTCAGAGTGCAGGCCTTTTTAATTACTAAACAAGCTTGTAACACAATTCCAACTGCTTTTGAGAATGGGTAGTTAATTTTGCTGTAAAATAACCAACAAAGGCCTAAAGACAAAAATATCTTGCATACTTTCACTGTATAGTCGTTAGTCTATGTTTGCATGTCTTAAATAGCACTTTTAATTTAGCACTTTTTTTTCTATGGTGGCCTTAAAGAATAGGGGGGGAACTTAAGTGGTGAACTTAACTAATTAAATATTTGAAATCAGCAGAAAAAACTGCGTAACCTTGTGCAGTTTGATCAAGATCACTGAAGAAGTAAGCGAAAAATGTCTAAGACCAGTCTGTCCCCTTAAAATAAATGTTCATAAGAAAATGTATACATGGTACTTTGCTTATAAGAAACGAGAATTGCTGTCCTGTGCATGTCTCTAATAAAGGGGTTCAACTGCTATAAAGCAACACAAAGGAAACTGCACACGGAGAAGCTAGCACAATATTCATGCCCATAGCTGGTAATTTTGCTGGGAGGCCACAAAATTCATGTTTGCGTGTATGGAATAAAAATTTCTATAGCAACCTTCTGTTATTTGACACTGCTCTAAAAAGGTGAAGCTGCTGTGGGAAAAGGTACCCTAAGGGCATTATTCTCGAGGTGGTCACGATTCAGGGTACTATCGATTTCAGAGGACTTGGCCTGACTTAGCACCGTACCTGCCAGTGTGCACCGCTGGCAGGGTTTCGAACTTCCAACCGTGCCGGGAGTGCTGTCGGCTGTCTACCTTGATGGTTGCGATGGCAGGTTGCACATTATGTCGTTACGCATAAAGATAACAAGGTTATTCTGTATGTGCAAAGCTGTGAGAAATAATTATGAGTTGTGGTGTCTGTTGGAGCTTCATTTTTTTTTTTTTTTTCCCCACTTTGTTGACCATGCTCGTTGTTGCAAATTTTCTGAGATGTTGAGCATTTCTAATGTAAGAACACCTGAGCTCATTTTCCACGAAATAAAACTAAAGCTATGCTACGTAAAAAATCATCGGCCAACTCAACATTGTCAGTTTTATATCATTTTTCCAAGCTCGACCAGCCGAAACAGGAAATAAAATGAAAATATGGGAAAATTTGGGGACCACATACTGTGTGAAAGGGTGCAAATGGAATTCGCCATAGTTCAAAATGTATTTTATTCTCTACAGTACTAACAAACATGTTTGCACCAGAATATGGTTGCCCCATCGCGGTGGTCTAGTGGCTAAGGTACTCGGCTGCTGACCCGCAGGTCGCGGGATCGAATTCCGGCTGCGGCGGCTGCATTTCTGTTAAAGGCGGAAATGTTGTAGGCCCGTGTGTTCAGATTTGCGTGCACGTTAAAGAACCCCAGGTGGTCAAAATTTTCGGAGCCCTCCACTACAGCGTCTCTCATAATCATATGGTGGTTTGGGACGTTAAACCCCACAAATAAAAAAAAAATGAAAACCAGATTGTTTTTTTTTTTCTAAACTGCCGCTCTCAACGGCTCTACAGTTGCTCCTTAGCTTTTTTTCTTCTCTTTTTTTATTCTCTTTTTTTTTCTTTCAGGAAAACCCAAACCGCGGTAATGTGCTGTATTTTAATGCACATGTTGACCACATTTTTTTTGGCTAAGAAAACGATAAATTGAGCTGAAGGATGTAAAAACAGAACCAATGAGCACGAATGCAGTACAGTAGACTCAGGATAATTCAAACTATGATAATTCAAGCTTTTGTTAATTCAAATAAAAATCAATTTTTCAGTTGGCCCTCTATTCTTTCAATTTATTTTAAAAGCTTCTTAATTCAAATTCTACCATTCAGTTGATTCATACTTTTTGCGGGTCTATGCCATAAAATATCAGTTGCTTTCCCACTACTGTTTAAAAATTTGTGTGCTTATATAATCCTAGCAGTCTAAAAATGAAAAATAAGCACCTGAGGCCTTCAAAGAAGTAGGCTTTGCAAGAAAACAAATGTTCGAAACAAAGCACACGCATGGTAAACCGTGATGCTTCTCAACTGGTATAGAAAGCTTCATGCTGATGGCACATACCTATAGCAATGAAGCAGTTGGAAATTCACGATTTCTAGAAAAAGTTTGATCAGCAGTAAATGGCCAATAAACTTCTTGACTTTACACCCCTGATTTCTGTTCACTGCATGCAGTTAGGGCTTAAAAACACTTTGAAAGTTTTTAAATGGGATAAAATCAATGCCTAATCACAATATGTGTTGTGACCCCACCCAGAGTTATCTGTCTGAGAACTTCTAATAGTTCAAACTTTGATAATTCAAACAAAATTTAGAGGTCCCTTCGAGTCCGAAATAATGAGAGGTGACTGTATTCTCTTGTAATATTCATGTTCTCTTGCCAAATAGTGTATGTTGGCTGTGTTTGACACATAGGTATATGGCCGTAGTTTTCTTGTTTTCAGCATTATACTAAATCTTTTTTTTTCTATGCCATTCAGCGTTGCTATGCTAGCTCTAGAAGCATTAAAACATAGTTGCTGTGGAAACTGTATATCTCTGTTCCCATAATTGTGAAATGCTTTACTTGTGGCAGTGAATCGTACATGGTCTTTGCCCTTCATGACGCAAGCTGGTGTGTTCTTGTGCGTGAAAGTTGCGCGGCTCTACAGATGAATGCAAAAAGCACCTTGCTCTGCTCCTCCAAAAAAAGGGACTGCTTTGAATGTGGTGCTTTTTCTACTAGACATAGTGGTTACCAAGTTTGTCTCCCTTATCAATATCGTTGTCCTTCTTACTGAGTCAGGGTTGCGAGCCCTGCAGTTCTGCTGGTATCATCTTATTTGTTACTCATTACAGAGCGTATGAGGGTGTTCAGGCTTGCATCGACAAATCACTGAATGTCGTAACGTGCTCTGTTATCCCGCAAGCTTTGCTGTTTAAGCCTGCACCTACTGACTACATGGCTGCCTCATACTCTAGCTCTATGTTGCACTCAGCTTGTTCTTGTGACATGAAGTGCTGGGCATGTTGAACATGGTGCGCCTGGTGTTTAGTGTTTCAGTACTTGTGCTGTGTGGCTAAACATTGCGCTGTGAGCTGCTGCAAAAAAATTCATTATTGCCACTGCTTTAGTGGGAAGTTTGTGTGACGACAAGTTTTTGCTTGCATGTGTAGCTAAATGATTGTGACACCTATAATCACTTACACATATGCATGTAATGACTGCCTTGGCACTTCGCGGCATTCAATTGGAGCTCTCATCACACCTGCGCTTCGGACACACATTGGTACGCATGTTGTCGAACCCACTTATAACGATACTCAAGTGTCACAAAAATTTTATTGTTACAACCAACAATTCCTATAAATGGGTTCCACAAAAAAATCTAAATAGAGGGATGGCAAGCTGCTGTAGAAAACTATAACATCGAATGGGATATGCCAGAGACATCATCAGTTATGGGAATGACAATGCTGTCTATTTTCAGACATGCTTAAAAGTTTGGACGCTTTCACAGAACCGCCACAAGCCACATTGAGCCAATGTACGACAACATGACAAGTTGGGAATACTAAAGCTCTTCGAAGACTCTACGATTCATTCAAGTTTGATGTCCAAAAGGGCGAAAAATTGGCATTGTATCTGCATGTACTCGCAAATGTCTTCAGAAGACGATAATCTTGCGTGTGGAGAGAGTGAACAAAACATTTTTTTGATGTTCTGCACAAGAAAATTGGTGAATGGTATTCCGGAGGCGCTGCGTTAGAGTGCCTCGAGCGTGCAGCGGAGGGGAACGGGCGCGTCAAGTCACGTCAAACGTGAGACATGAGCGCCATCTGGCAGTTTCTTTTAGAAAACAAAGCGCGTGGCCGTGCGCGCTTGTCTCGGAGGTGATAAGGTGAAGAACGCGAGGCGACGAGTAGGTGCCACCACCATCTCGTCTTAGCAAAGCAAAGCGCAGCGTGATAAGCGCTGCGGTCCTTAAAATTACTTATGTATGCGTTTTCTAGTAAGAGATGCATATGCAGAATATATGCGTGTTGTTATGGTGCCCCAGACATGCACAATAATTGCTTTTTAATTGACAATTGCACAAGCATGAACGCTCAATCTTGGGAAACATTGGTGGTCGCTGCGGATGGAATCGGCCGTTTCAAGTACCTCAGGCCGGTAAGAGTGGACCGACAAATGTACAGACAGACAGACCAAAATTTTTGCGTCGACGGTCCCCAAGAAAGACTATCGTCTTCAAATCTTCAAAAGCTACAGCTGCTCATACGCAGTGGGGAATTTCAAAAGTTAGCTTTGCCTCAGCGGTAAACCACTGTGCAGTGAAGCATACCATAAATTTGAAGGGGCACTGGGGGGCTTTGGTATATGTGGATGGCCATTTGGCAGCTTGAATTTTTCGTTTCCTTCTTCTTTTTTAAGGGTATTTGTGTCTATTACCTTTCAACACGAATACCCAGCACCAGAATTTATCGTTAAACTGGCCCGGTCACTATTATCTGGCCGAACGGGAGCATTGCTGTGAGTGGGTTATTTCTCCATAAAAAACATGCATAAGTTGATACTGCAGCAGCTTCTCATTGTTCAACTAGTATATTGTTAAAAGCGGTATTGTTATAAGTGGGTTTGACTCTATCTGGCTTAGCTGGCAGCTAGTTTCGCTTTGCTGAAATATTTGTCTGCAGTGTACTATTGCAGTATCTATGCATCTTGGCACAAGGTGTGGGCAAGGAGAATTTATGTTATTACAATCGTACATAATTGCGCATAGATATGCCGAGTGTTCATAATGTAACAATGCCACTATTGTTGTGGCACACGCTTTTACGCTAGCACGCCTTTAGCTTTTCAAGTTAGCTGCTGTGTTTGAGCTGCTTACAAGCGGTGTAGTGGTGGCTATCAGAAAATGCTGTCTAGTTGTGAAGAATTGCCCAAAACATTTGCAGCCACATGCCCCTTCTCGAGGCAAGGCTCGCATGAAGAAGAGGAAAGGAGGCAAGCCGACTTGCTCTTAACTTCCGTATTGCGATCTGGTGAGTTTTACAGCTCGGTACGAATGTTATCCTGTTTGTTTCATTGCCTTTCATCCCGCATCATCTGCGCACCTGCGCTTTGATTTTTGTAAGCCCCTGTTGTGGGAGTACTTGCCTGCGGAGGAAAACGCTACCTCGAATGCGAGGTTATTCTTGCTTTCTTATCTGCAAGTTCGCTTTTACTCCAACATTCTCCCGGTCTCTGTTACATGCAGGGCAGCCATAGAATAAAGTACCAATCACTCTGATCAGTAAAATTGTCGAGTCACACCAGCAGTGAAGGGATATTTAAGCTGCATCTGTTCATTACGTGCTGTTGGCAGAAACTCCTAGTGTGCCTAGTTACAAAATTCGCTATCTAGTATATAAAGGATGGTAATTGTATGTTATGAACTTTGCTGCTACAGTAAAAGCTCTTTAATTCGAATTCCACGGGAACGCTGAGCAATTTCGAATTAAACAAAATTTGAAATAATGAAAGTGAGCAAAAATGGGTGGATTTCGGGGGTGTGGTCACGAATGATATTTATTGGCCGAAAAAGTCGGTGATGACCATCTGCTTCTTTTCTCTGAATGCCACAGCTGCGGCTCTCTGTTCCAGCGCGCGGACGCGGCGCAGGGAATCCTCTTCACCCTCTTCAAAGCTGAAGAAGAGACGCGCCACATTAAGTGCCTCCATCACCGCAGAAGCTGACGGGCGCACAGGGGCTTCGTCATTTTCGTCTTCCTCACCTTCTGGCTCTTCAGCATCAGGCTGCACACCGGCTACTTGAGCGATAATGTCCGCATCAGTCAGGGCACCACACACCGATGCACCGGTGTCAACTTCAACATAATCGGCAAAACGTACGCCCCGAAGAGTGTCGCGCAATGCCACTGGCATGAGCTCCTCAGCCCCATCCACGTCGACGTCACAACTATCCTGCGCACTTCCAGCTGCAAATCCACTGTGGCGGAAACAGTTCGCGATTGTCGTCGCGGTCACCTGTTCCCATGCGCGCACCAACATGTGCATGGCAGTGAGCAGCGTAATGCCGAAGTCCTTCCTGTCGCCCGCGCACAAAATCATTCTCTCCAGCACGTGACGCCTATAAAAGCACTTAATGTTCCTTATCACACCCTGGTCCATTGGCTAGGGCCGCAGTTGTATTTGCCGGAAGGAACACCAACTTAGTTGCTCTCAGCTCAATGTCGACTTTGTGCGCCGAACAGTTGTTAACGACAAGAACGCGTCTGCCGCCCAGTTCCATTCGCCTGTCGAATTTCAGTAGCCACTTCCTGAATAGGTCACCTGTCATCCAGGCTTTCTTGTTTGCGGCGTACTCCGTCGGCAGTGAGCGAATGTTTTTGAAGCACCGTGGCTTGAGTGCTTTGCCAATCACAAAAAGGGGGACCTTTTCCGTACCGGTCATATTTGCGGCGACCAGAACAGTGACACGCTCTTTGCTGCGCTTGCCGCCGGCACAGCTGTCTCCCTTGTAGGTGATCGTCTTGTCTGGCTGCAACTTGAAAAATAACGCTGTCTCGTCAGCGTTAAACACATCCTGTGGTGAGTAGCTCTCCAAGTACTGCTGCAGGGTGTCACTTGTCCAAGTAGCGCATGTTTCGGCGTCCACTTCCTTTGCCTCGCCGGATAACGTGCAGAATACGAGATTGTGCCGCTCCCTGAAACGATAAAACCATCCTTCGGAGGCGACAAAGTCTTCAATGTCCAAGCGCAGGGCGAAATCGGCTGCCTTGGCCATGATGATAGGGCCGCTCAATGCGATACTCTGGGCTCTCATTTCTTTAACCCAGATAATCAAAGCTGACTCCAGTTCCGGGAACTTCGCTGTCCTTAGCCTTTTTCGACTGGCGCCAAAATCCTCGGCTTCATAGGCGTTTTCAATGGCCGTCCTGTTGCGTATGTAGGTTGACAACGTGCTCGGAGGTATGCCGTGCTTCCTCGCAATTTCGTAATTGCTCAAGTTCCCTTCGTCAACCTCACGCAAAATCTCCACCTTCTCCTTGACAGTCTTCGCGCAGTAGTTTCCCCGCGGGATCTTGCAACTTCGATGCGGAATAAGACGGCTTGACGGCGTGAACCAACAACGTGCTCGAGGAACAAAGTGACGCTGCCGGGAGCGGCCTAGGACTGCTAGGACTACTCCGCCGACTCCTCAGCGTCCCGTGGGTCCCGCGTACAAGTGGCGCCAGGCGCTGAGATAGCGGGAGGGCTATGGAAAAAAAAATTGCTCCCTGGATTTTGGAGGCCATACTTTGCTCAGAGGCCACTTGAAGCTCGAAAAAAACTGGTCGTGCCACCTATCGTTCGACCGTAAAAGCTTCCACTAGTGTTTGACGATGATGACGCTGGGCGGCGCGCGCTTCGAATTATCCGTAGAGGCAGCAATTTCTGTTCGAATTAACGAATCGTTTTACACATGGTCTCCTATGCACTGCGGACCGGACTGCGGCGACCATTTCGAATTATCCAAAATTTCGAATTAATGAGGTGTGAATTAACGAGCTTTCACTGTACTTTCTAGGTCGAGCCTTCATCAGGGACCTATCATTTTGGGTCAGAAACGTACAGTCCTGCGAAATTCAGGTCTTGTATAGAATACTCTAGCAGGTTGATATGTACAGCAAGATTTCAAATCTTGAAATCTGGCCGCTGTTTTGTTTGGGCACTAGCATTGGTATCGTTTATTCACACAACATACAAAAGCTATGTACAGTAGGCTCTCATTGTATCGAACCTCAAGGGACGAGAACAATATGTTCCGTTCAAAGAAACTCTAAACAGCAAATGGATTTTTTGCGTATTAGTAAAGTACAATTTCACAATCTCAAACACCACCCTTACTGTGACATGACACTCACTAAGCGAGAAAATGTGCGAAAAGAAAATGCAGGTGGCGACGCCACCTTGAAGATCCTGGTACCAAACGTAGCGACGTGGGAAATTTCGAAGCTATGTTCTGTGGGTGCCATAGTACTTAGCATACAACGCTTAAGAAAATTTCATCCAGCCAATGCCACAAAAACATCTAAAGTTCATTTTGAAATTTCTCATTACGTGTGGAGATTCTGCCACGAAATTTAAAAATGAAACTTCTACTTTGATTTTCTCCGCTAATAGAGAACCTATAATAGTGAAACATATGGCATTGGAGTTCTCAGAGTGCACATTGTGAATTCAAACTGTCATTGGTCTTCTTTAGTGGATCTTTAATAGGAGTTCTGTTTATGGAGAAGTGAATAAGAGGGTAAAAAATAAGCACAAAACCAATGATATCAGAGGCAGGTGTTCCATTTAAGAAGCAGTGCTGTTTAACAGATTTCCATTTACGGAGAGTCTGTATGTCAAAAGTGAATAATAGACAGATGTTCTGCATTACGAGGCTGTAAGCGTTGTAGGACAAACTGCGAAACTGTCGTACAACTGCCAATGGAGGTGATAGCTCTTTGCTGGCTTTGCGTGCCATTAATGTTAAGCAAAATGTTTTTATTCCTTCCTTATATCAGAGGATAAGAAAAATGGCAGGCAAATGCATGTGTCGCATACCAATCTGCAAGAACAAGTAGTGTGATGCATCTCCTCGAAAACTATTGACATGTATCCCCTAGACGTGTAGGTATTATCGATGCATAAAAAAATTGTTAAGATCATCAATTTTCGTAGCTTATGCGCAAATAAACCAGTGCCTCATCTTTTCGTGTTCACTAAAACCTGCTAGAAGGAAAATATTGTCGCGTAGTCGTGACATTGACGAAGGAAACAGTCGGCGTATCAACGAATAAACTCTTTAATGTAGACTCTCAGTAATTTGTTAAACAACTGCCTTTGATAGGATTGGTTTCGTGCTTGTTTTGCTGCAGCCCCGTTATCTTTCAGTAAACAGAACTCCTGCTAAATGGAGCATATTTTCCTGGTCCCTTCAGGTTCCATTTAATGAGAGTCTGCTACATTTGGCCGAACTTGTGTCCGGAAAACTGAGTCAGACTACAGCAACTCACACTGGCACTGATAGCGGTGAACAGAGTGTCTGCTGTCTATACTCTAATCTGTGGAAGGCGCATTGGCATTTATACATGTAGGAGCATCATTACTGGCGACCGCGTTCGTTGGACAATAAACTCAATTTTTCGTGTCGGCATGCTCAAACCTAGCGAATGATCCTAAAATAATGTGGAATGATCTCACGCATTCTGACGGGGTTGGCGTAACGCATTATCTACATGCGCAATAGGCCGGCAACATAAAACACAAAAAAAGCGGCAAAAGTGGCAATGTTACAACAGGTGGCATGAAAATGAGCACTGTTGTGTAGTATGCATGAAAGAATGCATACTCATTCACGCATATGTGCCCAGGATTGTATGCTCTCACAACAGTTAAACTTTTTCTGTCCTCTGTCCCTCATTTAACACGCATAAAAATAAGTTTATAAAAACCCAGTACAGTCATACAGGGGAGACAGCTCTTCAAGTAAAAAAGTGCATAACCAGATACGTACTAGCACTAGCAGGACTTGTTAATTACCAAGCGACATTTAAAAACCGAAAGAAAACGAAAAAGCAGTGTACACTGCCATAAATGGCTGTCTTGTGGAATACTCGAGAGTAGTGTTCAGAGAAGCTGAGAGAGAATGAAAGAATAATTTTTTCTTTACTTCACTGATTACTTAAGTAACTAAAAAAAGTTGCTGCTGCTGCCAGCAATTGGCCAGACTCTTTCAGCTCTTTTCTCCACCACATTGTGCACAAAATTAATTTTGCAGCAATAATGGCATGGTAAGGGTACTCTTATTCATGAGGTCATCCTTTTAATGGCTATTAAAACGTTTTCTGTAAGTAGCTCAAATTTTATTCCAGTGTACTTTTTGTACGTGTTACAAAAGATTCCACCCCATTTAGGTAGCTGATACATGATCTGTCTTCTTTCTCATTCACTTTTTTGGCTTCTTTGAAGCATGGACGTGTGGGTGCCATTCAATACATACTACACTCAAGCT